ACGTTCAAAGTTACAAGGATGACCTACGTCCCTGCAGCTAAAACCAGATGAACCCAACCGTGTGCAACCGGGAGGGCCAGCTCAGTTTAAGAACATGAGGCTTCGTGAGTCCACAGTAATAACCCCATGTGAGACTTCTGACACCGTCCTAGGTGTGCCGTAGAACAGAGCGGGAACTCTGGGCGACAGCGGGAGCCACACCAGCCAGCAGGACACCGAGCCCTCAGTGGCTCCGGAAGGCTTTGGGGAGCACTCGGAAGCGGGTGTGGGGCGCACGTGATCGTGCAGCTCCTGCCTCGGGGCGGGCCCAGTGGCACCACTGTGGTGGCCGAGCCCGGGCAGGCCCTCCCCAGTCTCCCTGACGGCAGGGGATGACCCAGCAGCCATAGGCGGAGGAGAAGCCCGGAGCTGCTTCACCGAGAGGGCCGCGTGCCCACAGGGACGGGAGCCTCCGCTTAGGACGGGTGGCCGGTGGCCGGTGAGACCTCTATGCTAAGTGCTTTAGGCTCAGCCCTTCAACTCCCGACACCTGAAGAAAAACCGTGCGCTTGACAAAACTAAGCGAGAAGAACCAGGGAGGGGCTCACTGGTGCCATCTTCTCCTGAGCAGAGCCTGCATCTGAGCTGCTGATGAGCGCGACATGGCCGGGAAGTCACGGAAACGTGAAGGCTCTGCTCTGGTTTGCAACCAGACAACTGTGGACGAGACAACCCTGACCTTCCAACTCCCCAGACTGTAGGCGTCAGTGGCGGGGAAGCAGCAAGCCCACACGTGGCTTTTGGGGGAAAAACACAACAAAACATAACAAGTGTGGGTTTTAAAAATCAAGTTAGGAATATTCCTCTATATGGAAAACTTACATTGTCATTAAGGGGTCCTCTCATCTACTTTGTTTTAAAAACGAGACTTAACAGGTGCCTGGGTGACTCAGTCGGTTGAGCATCCGACTTCGGCTCGGGCCATGATCTGGTGGTTCTGGAGTTCAAGCCCCGTGTCGGGCTCTGTGCTGACGGCTCAGAGCCTGGAGCCTGCTTTGGATTCTGTGTCTCCCTCTCTCTCTGGCCCTCCTCCTGTTCATGCTCTGTCTCTGTCTCAAAAATAAATAAACGTTACAAAAAAAAAGAAACTTAAAGGGCGTCTGGGTGGCTCAGTCAGTTGGGCGTCTGACTTCGGCCTAGGTCATGATCTCACGCTCCATGAGTTCGAGCCCCATGTCGGGCTCTGTGCTGACAGCTCGGAGCCTGGAGCCCGCTTCGGATTCTGTGTCTCCCTCTCTCTCTGGCCCTCCCCCCGTTCATGCTTTGTCTGTCTCAAAAATAAATAAACGTTAAAAAAAAAAAAATGAAACTTAAAGGGCCCCCCAGTGGCTCAGTCAGTTGAGCATCTGACTCTTGATTTTGGCTCAGGTCAAGATCGCACAGTTCATGGGATCAAGCCCCACATCAGGCTCTTCACTGACAGCTTGGAACCTGCTTGGGATTCTCTCCCTCACTCACACACTCTCTTTTGCCTCAAAATAAATAAACTTAAAAAAAATATTTGAGTGCTGAAAGAAATTTACTATTGTCAGGCTGAATGGACAGTTTTTCACTGAATTTTTTCAACTTTATTTGCCGTGTGCTTCACTGGAACCATTTTTGTTTATATACATCATATGTGCTCAGAGCACTGGTTTTTAACAACTCAGCGAGCGACTGAAAGTGCGGGGTAACTGCTGTGATCCTGTTAACTCTCACTTTCTAGCCTGCACGCCAGACTTGACGAAAGGGCCCATCTCTACCGGAGGCCCCTTGCTCTCCTCCAGGTCGCTAACCTCCTGAATTCTGGTTTTCATCTGCTTAAGGAAAATCATTGCGCTACATTATTTAAAAAACGTTCCAACTGAGGCTCCTGGGTGGCTCAGTCGGCCGGGCGTCCGGCTCTTGATGTCGGCTCGGGGCATGATCTCACCGGTCTGTGGGTTCAAGCCCCGTGTCGGGCTCTGCGCGGACAGGGCAGAGCCTGCGTGGGATTCTCTCTCCCCCGCTCGCTCTCTGCCCCCACCCCTCACACACGTGTGCGCTCTCTCTCAAAATAACTAAATAAGCTTTAAAAAAAAATTTCAAGGTTCTCACATTAAAGGTTTTGGTGGTAACACTAGTGGTTTTTCAAAAGGAAGCTTAATTAGCAGAATTAGCTCTTGCTGAGACAGCTGGGTGCTCTCCCCAAGCTGCTCGGGGCCAGTGTCCGTATCTGTGATGCCCGGAACCCTTCACTCCCCTTCCATAAAGCAGCATCTCTGGACGCCTCATTCTGGGAAGCCTGCTTGCATCAGAGTAAAAGACACACATTTAGGTGGGGATAAGTGGTAAATGGAGAGTTTTGTCCTGATTACACAAAGCTAAGCTCTGAAATATCTTCTAACAAACTATTTGAACTGTATAATCCCAACACGTCAAATATTCTCTGGGAGTTTTATATAAGCATATGGCTCCGTAGGCCAAAACTCTTCGGTTTAAGATACAATTTCAGAACAGAAGTGACCCCTCAGCGGGGCACCTGGGTGGCTCAGTCGGCTAAGCGTCCGACTTCGGCTCAGGTCACGATCTCACAGTCTGTGCGTTCAAGCCCCGCATCAGGCTCCGTGCCGACAGCTCAGAGCCTGGAGCCTGCTTCGGATTCTGTGTCTCCCCCTCTCTCTGTCCCTCCCCACTCATGCTCCGTCTCACTCTCTCTCTCAAAAATAAGATTTTTAAAAGTTAAAAAAACCAAACACCTTACCAATCAGCCTATGAGTAAATATTAGCTTTTTTTTTTTTTTTACATTTATTTATTTTGAAAAAGAGTGCGCGTGTGTGCACTCAAGTAGGGGAGGGGCAGGGGGAGGAAGAGAGAATCCCAGGCGGGCTATGTGTTGTCAGCACAGAGCCCACGTGGGGCGTGAATACCCCGTGAGATTCAAGACCTGTGAGATCATGACCTGAACCAGAACCAAGAGTGGGACGCTCAACGGACTGACCCCCCAGGCGCCCCGAATCTCAGTGTCTGTATATACTCAGCAAAAAGAAAACAGTGATGGCACAACAACACGGAGGAATCCCAGAAACACGAGTCCGGAAAGACACGAGACAGGCGAGCATGTGCTCCAGAACTCCATTCAGCTGGAGTCCAGGCCCAGATGACCCTCCTCTACAGGGACGGAAACCAGAAAGTGACGGGGAGGAGGATTTGCAAAGAAACCCACAGGAATCTTCCGGGGGAGAGAACCGTTCTCTACCTCGTCTGGGGCCGTGACGGCACGGATGTGGTCAATTGTCCCACTTCATCCAAGTGCATGTGTCAACTGTAGCTCCAGAAATACGGTTTAAATCTGAGCCAACGACGATACTCGAAAAGAGAAGAGAAACAAACAAGAAAAGGGGGGGAAAGGAACGCCCCTCTTTATCAGGTGCCATCGGCCGGCGGAGGCAGGGACAGGAGGAGGCAGAAGACGGGTGCACACCCTCCTCCCCCAGGGTAGACCGCGAAACCACTGGACACAGCAGTTACGGAATTACCGCTGATTTTGGGGGGTGGGAGGTGCGATCCAGACTGGAACTACCCAGGGATGAGGTGTCCGGATAGTTTCAAACGCTGCGACAAAACCAAGTTCCCTCTCTTCAGAACGGCCACAGGAAGACAAGGAAAGGCGAGGCAAACGCTTACTGCCGCGCCGAGACGTGGCGTTCGCCGCCCCGCTTCTCCTTTCCACACTTTTCCTAACAAACAGGATACATCTGTTTACGGTGAAAGCTCACATCTGTCCCTCTCGGATCTCATCCCCCCCATCCCTCTGGCCTCGCGCTCAAGGCCTCTACCTGGCCGCTCCTTTTGCTGCCCCCTCCTCCCCAGATATCCCCACCCCTTACTTTTCGCCTTCAGCCTCCGACCAAAGGTCGCTTCTCAGCCTTTTCCTGTCCCCCTATTTAAAAGGGGGATCCCCAAGGGCGCCGGGCTGGGGGCTCAGTCCATAGAGCAGTACTTCCCAACTCAGGATCCCCTCTGTGCCCCGCGCCGGGTGTAGAATTTACTCAACGACAATTAAAACGGCGACCCTCAAAACAACCCTTGCCCCAGACGGGCGCGCACGCACACACACACAGGCACGCACGCACACACACACACAGGCACGCACGCGCGCCTGCGTGCTTGCTTGCTTGCTCTTCCCTGCTTTCACACCTTTGGAGCATTTCCCACCATCAACCACTCTACACTTCACCCACTTGGTAGCTTACTGGCGCGCGCACAGCCCGGGAGACCGTCAACTCCAGGAGGACAAGCTGTGTTTTTTGCTCATTGCTGCGTTCCCAGCACAGACCCTAACACATAGTACTGTGCACTTAAAAAACAAAAAACTAGACGTTTCCTGCTTGTATTTCTCACTGAACGAGCCAGCAACTCCACTTGTGGTTTGGGACCTTAGGAAACCACTCACACAGGGTAGGAAGAGGCGATCCGCAGGAGGAAAGTTTCTAATGGCCAAAAAACCAAACACCTGGCAACAAAGGCACGCAGAGCCATCCTATAAACCACTAAGTATCAAGCGAAAAGGGTGAAGACCTATGTTCACCCTCTTAAGTTCCAAGACACACAGTGAGCGACAACAGCAAATGAGCAAACCTGTGTCGTTATTGCTTTAACAGAAAAAGACAGAAAATAAGTCTTAAAAAAAGAGAAAAAAAATCACGAAAGCAAATTAGGGCACGCTTTTACTTGTGTGCTCATGAACGTGAGCATGAAACACGTCCGTACCCAACTGTTCACGGAGATCACCTCCACAGACGGAATTAAAAAGGACTAAAGGGGTAGCGACTTAACTTGTCCTAGAACGTTCTGGAATTGCATCGCGCCCTCAAGCTCTGAAAGGCTGACAAACCAAGGCACGGGCCTCCCAGGCTGCCCCTCTGCCCCCGGGTCGGGAACCCACGCCGGCTCCCGGCTCCCTGCCCCGCCGCCCCCGCATCCAGGGTCCCGCACTCACCAGACAGCGGGGAAGGATCCCTCTTGGGCTGGAGGCGACTGGTCTGGGGCAGGAACGGGTTGTTGAGCCTGCGGGGAGCGGCAGGGTCAGGGGGCACCGGGCTCCGGGCGGCCCCGCCGCGCCCCGCCGCGCCCCGCGGGGCCGCTCACCCGAACGAGTTGGGCTCCTCCACCACCTTCATCTTGGCCGCAGCGGCGGCAGCGGGCCCTGCGGGGAACGGGGCGGTGAGGAGGCGGCCGGGCGGCGCCGGCGGGGGACGCACGGGAGGGGCCCCGGGGCGCAGGGACACTAACCGCGCGCCGCGAGCCCCAGCAGCAGCAGCAGCAGGAAGCCCCCCGACCTCGCCGCCATCGCCGGCCGCGCGCGCCGTCACGTGGGCGCCGTTAGGTCACGTGGGCGCCGCCGGGCCGGAAGTGGCGCCCGGCGCCTGCGCAGGTGGGCGGCAGAGGAGGCGTGCGGCCGAGTGTCGGGGATCCCCCGGCTGCTCCCCGCCATGGGCCGCAGGAGGGCGGCGCGCGGGCCGGTGGCCGAAGGCGGCCGCGCTCGGCGCCCCGCGGGCCGCTCCCTGGAGGCCTTCGCGGAGGAGGTGGGCGCCGCGCTGCGCGGTGAGTGGGGCGCGATCGGGGACTGGGCCGGGGGTCGCAGGCCCGGGGCGGGCCCTCGGAGCTGCGCCTGAGGCTCGGTACCCTTCTCTGCTCCGGTGCAGCGTCCGTGGAGCCAGAGGCGGCCGAGGACGAGGGCATTTCGGGCCCGGCGCGGCTGCCGTGCCCGCTGGCCATGTGGGAGCTGGGCCACTGCGACCCCCGGCGCTGCACGGGCCGCAAGCTGGCCCGCCTGGGCCTGGTGCGCTGCCTGCGCCTGGGCCACAGGTTCGGCGGCGTGGTGCTCAGCCCCGTGGGCTCCCAGTACGTGTCCCCCGCGGACAGGTAGGAGCGGGGGGGGGGGTCAGGGGCGTGGGCGGGAGTCTCAGTAAGCCCCCGGCCCTTTCCGAGCTTTTCTACCTGTCTAGTTTGCGCCCCCCGCCCCCATCCCTAATGCAGGACATAGTAGCACCTCAGTAAACGTTTGTGGAGTGAATAAAGGAGCCTACCCCGGGAACACACATCGTTGAGGCTGTTTCGGGGCCGGGGAATGATGTTCTTGTATCTCTAGTAAAGTCAGTTTTCGGGACCCCACCGTGGTGCGGGCCCCCGGAACCTAGCCCTCCTCTGCTTCTGACAGACAGCTGGTGGCACGGTGTGGGGTCGCGGTCATCGACTGCTCCTGGGCCCGACTGGATGAGACACCGTTTGGGAAGATGCGCGGGGGCCACTTGCGGCTGCTGCCCCACCTGGTAGCAGCCAACCCCGTGAACTACGGCCGACCCTGCAAACTGTCTTGCGTGGAGGCTTTCGCCGCCACCTTCTGTATCCTCGGTGAGCGCCGGAGCCCGCTAGCCTGGAAGTCTGGCTAGGCTCCCAGCAGTGTGTTTTCTGCTGGCACGTCCCGGGAGGGACGGGAGGGCCCGTGGTGTGGTCAAGGTGGACAGGCTAGGATTTCAATCCCACCTTTGTCACCCCTCCACTTGTCCTCAGAGAATTTATGGTCCCAGTAGAGGCTCAGACAGGCGGCCCCACGAGACGTGGGAAGAGGGCCTTAGTGGGTGGCGGAGGCGGGTGAGCAGGCCGTCTGGACCGAGGGACAGAGTGTCAGATCTTGGGACGGCCTTGAGGGTGCCGGGAGCACACTTGGGACGGGAGAGGGATTGTCAGCATCCTTGCGTTTTCTGTGTCCTCACCATCAGGCTTCTCCGACCTTGCTGTCATCTTGCTGCGAAAGTTCAAATGGGGCAAGGGCTTCCTAGACCTGAACCGCCAGCTCCTGGACAAGTACGCGGCCTGCAGCGGCCCAGAGGAGGTGCTGCAGGCGGAGCAGGAGTTCCTGGCCTGCGCCAAGGAGCACCCCGGGGAGGAGGAAATCGGTGAGCCCTGGCACGGACACAGGCCCCCTGGCTGGGTGCCAGGACGCTCATGCTTATCCTCCTCCAGGCCTGCACCCTCTTTTTGAGAAGCTGGCGCGCCCCCCCCCCCCCCCCGGCGCATCCTGCCCCAGCTTGTGGGAGGCTTGTGTGCGCTCTGAGGTCACGTGTGGGTGTTTTTCTTACTTGCTTCCTCTGTTCAGATCCTTTCGATGTGGATTCTGGGCGAGAGTTTGCAAACCCCAACAGGCCGCTGGCTGGCACCCGGTAGGTCCTTGGGCTTCCCAGTATGGGGACAGGTCAGACCCAGGGCTCTCCTCTGGCCTCGGCCCCTCCTGTGGATGGCGGCGGGGGGGGGGGGGGGGTGGATCCCCAAACAACGGCACGATGATTTTGTGACTGTGGTCAAGGACCGTGGCCGCCCTACTGGAGAGGTGCTGGTTTTGAGAACACAGGGAATAGGAGAATCCGTTCTCAGCTGGGGCTTCTGTGAGCGAGCGTGCCGGGGATGGTGCCTTTAGTGAACGCACCTCTCCCTTCCAGGCTGCTTACGGACAGCAGTGAAAGCGACAGCGAGGACGAGCCTGTGGAGCGCGGGCCTGATGCCGAGGACCGAGGAGACGGCAGCGGCTGCCCTGAAGAGGGTTCTCAGAAGCAGGAGGCAGAGGCCAGGGCCCCCGCCCAGGTTTGGAAAGGAATCAAGAAACGGCAGAGAGACTAAAGGTTGCAGACACGTATATTTTTTGAGGCGGAGCAATAAGAAACTCGAGAGAGAGCGGCAGGATTTGTGGAGATACAGACAGGCTGGCAGCCTCAGCCCTCTCAACACCGAGTGGCCCTGGACTGTGTCCCCGCGGTTCTGACACAGCCGTGCTCTGGGGCCTTCGAGCCCTCCCAGTGAAGCAGCAAGCCAGGAGACCCCGGTGTGAGCCTGTTTCTTTGCACTTGCCCTGGGGATGGGGGGGAGGGGACTCTCAGTCTCCAGCGAGGCCGAGTCGGGCGGGAAGGGTCAGACGGGAAGGGTCTGGGCCGCTGGACGGTGGGGTGCCGGGCTTGGGGCCCATCTTGCATGGGCACGCGTGTGCGCACACGGAGGGACAGTAACTGCACAGCTGAGTGGCCGACGTGGGGCCCCTCACCCTGACCGATCGACCTTGCATGAGGTCCCGGCCTCACAGTGACCTGGGGGCACCCTCCCCCAGGCCTAGGAGCCAGGTGGGGATTGGAGACCCGCGCGCTGCTTAGCAAACCTCTGTGTGTGCCCTTGGGTGAGGGTGAAGGGTCCCAGACGCTCACTTTGTCCCTCCACCAGGACACCTGGGAGCGGTTTCCCACCACAGCTGGGGTTGTCCAGACCCAAACCTGGGCCATCCCTCCTGTTGGCCTGCGAGGCCCTGTCACACTCCCCACCCCACAAAACGAAGACCGTGCTTCCTCTGAGAAGGGCTGTGGCACTGGTAACGTTTGGGGCGGGCTGTTCCTTGCTGGGCGGAGGGTGCTGTCACGTTTACCGCAGGACTTCCAGCACCGTCCTTGGTCTCGCCATGGGTGCCGTCGGCACCTCCTTCAGTAGTAGCCGTGACCACCGAAAACGCCTCCAGACGTAGCCTGATGTCTCCTGGGGAGCAGAGCCACCCCTCCGGGAACCCTGCGCGGGCTGCACAAGCTAAGGTTGCAGATAGAGAAGCTTGCCGGGTGGCCAGGCCCCGCGAGTTACCCCCAGATCCAGGGTGGGGGCTGCTCACTGGACGCAAGGGGTTCACGGTACACACCACACAGACACGGCCGGGGCAGCACGCACACCACACGGGGGAGCATGAGCCCCACGGCACAAAGCTGATGCGGGGCAGGACTGGGTTGGGGGCGGGCGGGAGCTCAGGGGTCCGCTTCCATGCACTTCTCCAGCTCCTTGAGTCTCTTGACAAATTCCTGCGCCTCCTTGTTGGTGCGGCCCTCCAGCATCCTCAGTGCCGACTTCACTACAGGCGGGAGGGTGGGGCCGGCATGAGACCGCGGCGGCCGTCGAACCCGCCACCCCCGGACCCTCACTCACCCTGGGCCCTGGGCCGGCGCAGATGCAAGGTGACGGGCTGCCTGGCCCTCGCGCTCCCTCCCACCTGAGGTCGTGCTATGCCGCCGACGCCGCCCAGGCCGAGGGCTGCCTCCCCCGCGAAGTCGTTGGTGGACAGCCAGTCGTGGTCCATGACGGTGAACAGCACGCAGGCACCGCGGCAGCGGCACGCCTCTGCCGGCACAGAGCTGCGGGCGAAGGGCAGTCCCTGGAGCCCTGCCCCCTGTCCGGGAGGGGGCGGGGGTCGCGGGCGGGGGGGGGGGGACACTCACAAGTAGAAGAGCTCGTCATACACGGGGTGCAGCGTCCGGTTCTTCACCTGGGTCCTCTGGCTGCGGACCAGCGGGAAGAGGTGTGGCGGGCCCAGCTCCACGATCACAAACGGGTCACTCAGGCCTGGGGGGCACAGCCGCGTGCGGACCGTGAGCACCGCCCCCAGAGGCCCCGCCCCCTCGCCCCCTCCGCTGGCCCCGGCCCCGCCCCTCACCGTTGGCGTCCAGCGGCGGCAGGTCCGCGGCGTGCAGCACCTCCACCACCAGCCGCTGCTCCGCTGCCTCGTAGTGACAGCGCACGCTCAGGCGTCCGAACCGCTTCTGCTCCAGGGACCTCTGCGGAAGGGCTTGCGCCAGTGACCGCGGCGCAGGGGTTCGGGGGCTGGGCCGCGTGCCCACACTGCGCGTGCGCACACGGGGCCTCGCTACCTGCTTGAGTTTGTCCAGGTAGTACTGCTCGATGCACTCGCGGGTGGAGCACTGATGCAGGCGCAGCTCCTCCTCCAGCCTCTGCGGAGCCGAGGGGCTGCTGACCGTGGGCTCCCCCGGCGCCGCGCCCCCGTCTCCCGCGGCCCCGGGGCCAGACTCACCTTGTAGCTTCCGTCTTTCAGGCTCTCCAGGGGCAGACCCTGGCCCTCCGCGTGGAAAAAACTCACCAGGGCCTGGGGGCAGGGCGAAGTGGGAGGGATGTGGGGCACGGGTCGTGCTGGGGCTAGCGGTGGTGCCAGGCGGAGCCCTGAGCAGCACCAGGGCGCCTGGGAGCCCCGGGGCAGAGCCACTTGTCACACCTAGCGCAAACCGGGGCGGGGTGGGGGTGGGGGGGAGGAATGCCAGTGCCTGGGGCCCGACAACGGTCTGGGCAGGTGGCCCAGGTGCTGCTCACACAGGCGGCCGGCAGGGAGGAGGCACTGGTCTGGTGGGATCCCAGGGGAGCGGTCCGGGCTGGGAAGGCCAGGCCTCCCGGCCGAGGGCACATGGCCAGGTGGCCCGGACAAGGGCCTGGGAGCCCCAGCAGGGAGGCCCCTCCACCTACCTCCAGCGTAAAGTGGAAGCGGCCGTAGAAATCGGCAGAGACGTCGAGGTTTGCCCCCAGTGCCCGAAGGATGGCCTGCAGGAGCAGCTCCCAGAGGGCCTCCAGCACCCTGCAGGGACACTCCGTGCCCGTGCCCGTGCCCATGAAGGGACCCCAGGCCCCGCACCGGCCCAACCGCCCCAAGCTGTACCTGCTAAGGTTCTCCTTCACCAGGGAGGTATTCAGCAGGGCCAGCTTCTCATCCAAGTACTTCATGAGCGGGGCCACGGCCTGCGGGCAGCATCCTCAATGCCACACTGCCCGGGCCCCACCCCACGCACGCTCCCCTCGGTGCCCAGGCCCTCACTTCATCGTTCTGGATGGAGTCGGGCGACAGGCTGATGTGCTGCACGTACTTCCTGATGTCAGCCACCATCTGAGGGACGGCAGAGCTCAGCACCAAGTGGCAGTGAGGGGGCGGCCGGGTCCTCTGCCCGCCCGCCCGCCCGCCCGCCCACCTTGGAGGTCAGGTGCGCCGTCACGGTGTGGACCTCCTGCTGCAGGTCTTCGTCCAGGGCCTGTGCACAGCCGAGCAGAGGGCGCGGGAGCACCCCCTCGGGCCCCGAGGTCACCTCCGGCCACGCCAGACCCCGCAGCGTCTGCCCGGCAGCCTTGCGCAGGAGCTCCACGTTGTTGAGAACCACACAGAGCTGGGGAGGCGGCCCACGTCGGGGGGGGAGGGGTCGGCAGCCCGGTGGTGGCCCCGCCCCGCCCCCGGCTCCGCCCCCTGCCCGCCAGGCCGCTCACTGGCTCGCTCACTGCCTCGCCCGCGGCCCCCGGCTGAGCGTCCACCTTCTTCCGCAGCAGCTCAGTGTAGAAGAGGGTGGCCGCACACAGGTCCTACGGTGGGAGACGAGGGCTCAGGAGCTGCGGGCTGTGTCCCCTGGGCCCGCGGCCCTCCCAGACTCGTCTCCTCCCAGACCACGCTCCCCAGCGCACAGCCAACACACCTGGCTGAGCTGGGTGCCCAGGGCCTCGGCCTGGGCAGGGTCCGGCCATGCCAGGCGGGCCCACAGCTCCTGGATGTGACCGAAGCAGAGACTAGCCGTGGCCGCAGAACTGCTGTGCTTGGAGGAGGTGTCCATGGGCTCCAGCTAGGAAGGCAGGAGGCCTGGGTGGCAAGGGGGGGCCCTGGCTGAGCCCAGCACCCTCAGGCCCGGGCGCCTACTCACCGTGTCCACATCCACGGCTCCTTGCAGCCTCCACCTGACCTGGTCCCGCAGCACCTGCAGCCAAAGCTTCACAGCGGGCAGGAACGGGCCATGGATGCCAGCCAGGGCGAGGGAGCGGCTGTCGCTGTGGCAGGAGGCCAGTGGGAGCTCGCCCGGAATCCGACACCTTGAGCCAGCACGTCCCAGGGTCCCGGCCCAAGGGGACACCCGGGAGAGCCTGCCTCCAAGGGCCCTCGGGCTGTCCCAGAGGCCTCCTAGAGGAGGCTGGGGGACAGGTGGGAGTGGGTGCAGGTCTGGGAGGCCAACAGTGGGAGGAGACAGACAGGGCAGGTGGGGGGAACGGGATAGGTTGGGGCAGGGCACCCACCGGCCGGGGATGCTGCTCCAGAAACGCTGGATGTCCGCCAGGGTCACGTACAGTTCGAAGAGCCCTGAGGCCACCTCGAGGGTCATCTTGGGGCTCAGCTCCTCCGTCAGCACCCATGCCTCCTCGGCCACCTACTCAGGAGGACGCATTCACGCCACCAGCAACAGGGAAAGCGGGCCCCTTTCCAGCCCGGGGGCTTCTCCCCACAGCCCCTCCTCACCAGACGCTCCAGCTGCCGGAAAGTGAGTGTGAAGAAGTCGATGTCGGTGATGCTGCAGGGAACAAATGTCACACACCTGCTTGCCCCGCCACCGGCCTGGCGGCATCCCTGAGGGGCCGGGGGCAGGGACGGCGGGCAGAGCCCTGGGCCCCACCTGTGGAAGAGGCTGGCGTAGATGCCGTAGCAGGACTGCAGATCCTCGTAGACGGCGTCCGCCAGCTCGACCAGCCCGGCGAGGCGCTGCGGCCCCGACTGCGAGGAAGCCCGGTTCACACTGACCTTCTGGCCGGCACCTACTTGCCGCCCCCCCTCCGCTCCCCTCCCCCGCGGCACCTGCTCTCGAGGACTCTTGGTGTTCAGGAGCCTGTCATACCACTCACGGTTGCCTCTCTGCAAGACAAGCCACCAACAGGGGGTGGTGAGTTGGGGGGGGGGAGGTTAAAAGGGCCCTGGAGCGTGGCGGAGCAGGCCGGGAGCCGGGGGTGGGCGCGGCTGGGCGCCCCCGTGTGGGCCGCGAGGGGCGGGCACCGGGCACAGATTCGCTACTGGACACACCTTCAGAGCAGCAGAGATGTCCGCGTTTAGTTCTGTCCGGAAGGAGCACACCTCAAAGGAAGGCTGGAAGATCTGCATCTTGCTGAGACACCTGGAGGGGCCGCCCGCTGACTGTGCGCTGCCCCGCCCAGCTCCCTACCCACCCCCACCGACCCCCCCACGCCCCCACCCCCGGCCAGGGCCTGGGCTACACCCACTTGAGCAGCAGCTCCAGACGGTAGACGGCAGTGCTGTTGGTGGCGGGGAAGAAGTCTCGAAGCTGACGCAGCAGCCGCAGCCCAAACTCGGAGAAGGCATTGAAGCTGTCAGCCAGGCTCTCCTCCTGGGGGCACCGGCCCGTCGGAGCTGACCCCTACTGCCCTCCCCACGGGGTGGGTAGGGGCAGCCAGTCTGCAAGGGCCTCCTTGGGCCATCCGTGGGCCTGGTTTCTCCAAACTCAGCCACCACAGTCCCCACGGCCTCAGGGCCTTGGTGCCCCCCCCCCCCCCCCCCCAGCTCCGAGCCGCGCACCCACTCCCTTCGTCCCTCGCCCAGATGGAGGGCACGACCTCCCTCTCCTGGGACTCGGACACATCCCCTGTCTCAGCATCGCACAGTACCCGCTCTATCCTGGGTCATGAAGTTTGTTTTCAGCCCCACAGGGCCCTGTAAGCCGAGCACCCCATGTGGGCAGCACTCCGCCCTGTCTGCCCCAGCGCCAGCGGCCCCACAGCACACCCCCCAGGAACAGCTCACCTGCCCTTGGGGCAGCGAAGACGCCTCTTCCCAATGCGCCTGCATGTCCTCCAGCAGCCCCAGCAGGTAGCCGTAGTCCAGGGTCCGGGTCTGATGGTGGCGGCTGCTGACCTGCCAGTGCCTGCAAGTCGGGGGGAGCCCCGCCCATGGGCACGGAGACCCCGATGAGACCACCCCCCCCGTGCCCCTCCTACTTGCCCCTTACACGCCCCCAACTCCCCCATGGCACCGCCCCCTTTCATGCCTTCCCACTCAGAGGACTCCTTCCCTCGCTCGCCCCGCCCCGAGGCCCCGCCCGCCCGCCCGCCGCCAGCCTGCCCGTGCCCCGCCCCGAGGCCCGCCCACCCGCCGCCGGCCTCCCTGTGCCCCGCCCCCGGAGGCCCCGCCCACTCACAGCACAGCCAGCTGCAGCGCCGACAGGTTGTTTTGCGCGCCGTGCAGGCAGAGGATCGTGGCCGCGGGCCCGCTGAGCTCTCCCCGCCAGCAGCTCGCCTTGGGCTGGGGGAGTTGGGGGCAGGCGTGGATGCAGGCAGGGGCCGCCATCCCCTCCTTCCCTCGGTGCCCAGGCTCCCCTGCTCTGCCTCCCCAGGCGCCCGGTCAGCCCCGTTCGGAGGGCGAGGCTACCTCCTCGGATCGGTGCTCGAACTGCAGGAGACGACTGAGCAGCAGCATGTAGGACAGGAAGCCCGCCCGCCCGCGCTGGCTCATGCCCGTGTCCCTCTGGAATGCAGGAGCCGCCCGTCACCAGCCCTGCCCAAGCCCGTGGGCAGGGGTGCACGGCCAAGACACAGGGCAAGGGACCCCCACGGCTCCCCACCTGTGTGGTGATCAGCTTGAGGACCAGCTGGCAGTCTCCTTGAACGCGGGAGGCGCTGGAGCGTGGTTCCAGCTTGAACCAGCGGTCTTCACCCGCCACGGGCACCTCCTGAAAGGAAAGGGTTCACACCGGCCATCCCCCCTCCAGCTCCCTCCCACGGACTCTCTGTGGGACCGAGAGGAGAACACACAGCTCTGCTGGCCCCAGAGACGGGTGGTCAGCACCGAGTGAGCCCTCAGGGGTGCCCGGACACCCAGGAAGCTGTTCCTTCCCCCTCCCCTGCAGCTGAAGGCCCCACCAGCCCAAGAAGGCCAGGAGATGCTTGGGGGAGTCGCAGGGCAGACCCACCAGCAGTATCCCCGGAGGATGAGACCCCACAAACAGGCGGTCCGTGAGCAGAGCCCCGGCCCCCACTCACCCGGACGGGTATGTTGAGACACCCCAGGAAATCATCTGTGTGGTCCTCCGCGGGCCCTGCTGTCCCATTGGCACGGGCCGACTTGACAATCTGTTTAAAATACCTAGGCAAAGCAGGGGGGGGGGCGGCCCCACCTCGGTCCCTGGGGAGCCACTATCTGCTGGCCCACGTGGCCAAGCTGCAGCCCCGGTGTCTGGGGGGCACGAGGGTCCCACCTGTCATACCTGCTCATGCCCTTCAGGCCGATGACTTCATTCAGCTTCCTGCATGCTTCCACCAGAGACACATCATCGTCATGGTCCCTAGGGGCGGGGCGCGGAAACCTGGCTTGTCTGGAGCCTGGCTGGGCCCTGAGGGTCCTCTCTCAACCCACGCCCCCTCCCCGAGCAGGTGCACCCACACCCGCTGCCCTGCAGGGACCAGGGGCGTCTACCAGATATCCAGGTGCAGCTGGTCCGTGCTGACATCCTCGATCTCACTGTAAGGAAAACGGAGAGCAGCCCAGAGGGTGGAGGACCATCCCCTGCCCAGGGGCGAGGGCAGGGACAATTTCAGGAGCTGCGGGCAGGGGTCCACGAGCTCGAGCTCTCAGGACAGGCCGCCCGGATTTGGATCCTGACTCTGTGGCCCCCGGGGCATGGCACCTCTCTCTGAGGCGATTTCCTCCTCTGGACAGTGGTCACGTGAACAGCCCCCACTCGGGCCCCTGGGGCAGGCACAGTGTGGCAGCCACCGGCCTGCGTCCTCAGGACATGCTCTGGCCCAGCAGGCAGCACCCCCCCGCCCGACCGCCCTGCCGCCCAGCTGGGCCAGGGCCCTTACAAGACGAAGTTCTCCTTCCAGACAGGGTTCAGGGTGCTGCTCTTGACCTCGGTGACCTGGATGCACTTGGCCGGGAGCGGACCCCCACGCTTGCTGCCTTTGCGGAAGCTGAAGCGCTGCTCCGTGCGCGGCCCTGGCTCCCGGGGGGCACCCGAGGCCGGCAGGATACCCAGCATGCAGTACGGGTCACTGAAGCCTGAGACACATCGGGTGCCTCAGCCGCCAGCCCTGGGCCCTCCGTCCCTCCGTGGCCACCGGACCCGGGCACAGCCGAGGTCCAGGCTGGTCCCCACTCACCATTGGGGTCTTTGGCCAGCAGGTTCTTGGCACGCATGACAGAGACTTTCAGGGCATACGTGGGGGCCTGTGGGCAGAGGGTGCTGACCGGCCTCTTGCAGAAGGCTCGGTGTGACCGCGACAAGGCCCTGCTCTGTGTCCTCCCCACCCCGAGCCCTAGCACCGCGGCTGGCCAGCGTCTGCCCACGTGGGTGGCAGCCTCACCTTGGCCTTCTTCACACGCTCAATGGCCTCAGCGTGCTCCTCAGGGCTGGTACCAAACACCTATAGAGGGTGGGCCGGTGTGAGGGCCCAGGTACCCCCGAGGCAAACCTGGCCATTGTCCTGGGGGCCTCCCGGGGCAGAGGAAACACACACACACACACACAGAGGAGGAGGAAAGATCTGTTTATCTGTCGGTCCATCCTCTGGGTCCGTTCCTCTGTCGGTTTGTGCTTTCTACCCTTCTTTGTGTGTGTGTGTGTGTGTGTGTGTTTGTGTGTCCCCATCCCTCCATCCTCCCGGGCACACCTACCAGCACATACGTGTATCTGCACATGCACGTGTGGGTATGTGTGTGTTCCATACGTGGGGCGAATCTGTGTGTGTTACATGGGTGATGGTGATGGGGATGCCTCCAGGCAGAGGAAAGGGCTCCCCTGACCAGGCACGGCCAGGCCAGCACGGAGGGTGGGCAGGTGGGGCTCACCTGCTGAAGGTAGCCCAGTAGGGTCTCCTGGTCATCCACCTGGTCAGGGCCCATGGTCCCTGCACGGTAGAGGACTGTGTACAAGGCCTCCTCATAGAGCATCTCCACCTGTGGGTGGGGAGGGGCGCACACCCTGAGTCCCAGCCGCCCCATCCCTATATCCTTCAGCCCCAGGCCCTGAGCCCTGGCCACTGGGGGTCGGGGCTCCTTGGTTCCACCCCCTGTATGCCTGGGAGGGGCGGGGGGGGGGGGGGCAGTCCTCAGGAGCTCCCCCCACTGGCAGACCGCAGTCCCAGCATCAGGACCTTTGCACCTGCTGGGCCCTGCACTGGCCCCCTGAGCTCTGCTTCCTACTCGCTTGCATGGGAAGTCCCGGCCCACTCACCCTTGCCACCTCTGGTGTCCACCCTGTCCCCAGATCCCGGGCCAGGCCCATCTTAGGTGCTCCCAGACCCTCCCTGGGGCCAGGCCCCCTCCCCCTTACCTCCTCCTGGGTCAGGGCTCTCAGGCCACGGCTGGGGTCAACGGGCTCAGCAGGGGCTGGCGAACCGCTGCGCAAGAGGACCTGTGAGGAGCACTGGGGTGAGGGTCTAGAGGGGGGAGGGCCCCAGGGACGGTGGGAGTCGGTTTGAGGGGTGGGGGCCCACTGCAGAGGGGGCTGGCAGGGAGGCCCACACGGGGCAGCAGCTCTGGGCCATCCTCACCTCGGGGCACGGCAGGCCCTGTCTGCCCTCCCCCTTCTTCAGAATGAGGCGCATGTGAGCGAAGAACTCCACGCCGTCCCCGGGCTTCCTGCAGGGAGAGGCCAGGCCTGAGACCCGGGCCCCCGGCACACACCCGCCCCCTGCCCAGGACCAGCTGCCGGCCGTGCGCCTCGAGGGGATTCCCCGTGTCCACACATCCGGGGACCCAGCGCGGCGTCCACGGCGCGCCCCGCTCTCCCAGCTCCCCCGGGGGCGCGCGACGGTGCAGGCTTGGGCGCGGAGCACCCACCAAGCCCCTGCGGCCGGCTCCGGGGGGTCAGCGCTGGTGGCGGCCGGCTCTCCCTCGGCCCTCCGGCGGAAGGTGGGGCACGCCTGCACCTGCCGCAGCACGCTGCTCTTGATCTCCAGCAGGGTCGTCATGGCCGGCGGTCTGCGGGCAGAGCGCACGGCTGCGGCCCCTGCACGTCCCAGCAGCACCGCCGCGCCGGCCCCAGAAACCGCACCGGGTGCACATCGAGCGGGGAACGGATCCGCCGGAAGCGCACACGGGCCGCGTTCCTGACGGCGCAGCCTCCCGGCCTCCGCGGAGCAAGGGAGCCTGAGGCCCTGGGACTTGGCTCCCGTGCTGCTTCGCGCTGGGCACCCAGGGGCCACCGGGGGCCGGTCCCTCGGGCTCCCTCGGCCTTCGTGTCCCATCTGCAAGACGGGACATCCCTGCGGGGCCGCGCCGGAGACGGGACGAGGCTGCCAGGCGGTGGTCGTGCTGGCACAGTCCGGGCTCCGTCAACGGTCGCTGCTGGACTTCACCGCAGAGGGCCCGTACTGCCACGCTCCCGCCGCCGCCGCCGCCCATCTAGGGCTGGGACCCCTGGCTGTGTCCCTCGGGTCCTAGGACCGCTCGGCAGCAAGTGCCTGTATCTCCTGGGCGCCTTGCGAACGGGACGGAGTTGTCGGGGAGGGGTGTCCAATTCACCCAGCCTGTAATGGTCCAGTCTGGGGCCGGGGCAGGCAAAGGTCCTGCAGGAGGCAACCCCTCCCCAGGACTCCCAAAGTCCTCATCCTGCAGAGGAGCTTGGGCAAGAAGAGGCCACCGTGCCTGGGGCCTTCCTCGAGACCCCCTCACCCCGAGTGGCCAGCATGCGCAGGAGGGGCCGCTGGCGAAGTCCTCACCCGCCCAGCACAGCCAAGGGACAGCGCCCCATCGTCTCCCTGTGGGCGCACTTGCACACCTCCCCCTGGGGCCACAGTGTCCCCTGCAGACCCCGGAGGAAGGGCAGGAGGACCACTAAGCAGCCGTGGGCCCTCGAGCCCTGCTCCTGCTCAGCCCTGACCAGCCCAGGCACCCGACCCCTTCCCGACCCGCCTGTGCCTCCCCAAACCCCAGGGTGGTCTTCGTGCACCCCTGCTGAAAGCTAGCAGAGGAAAGTGCTGACCCCCCACCCCGCTAGGCTGAATCTGACCCTCGGTGCCCACCTTTCGGACTTCCCTGCCCCAGGATGTCAGCCTGTGCCTCCGCACAGGACCTATCATGCTCCCTTCAGGGTACCACAGGGCCTTTGCACCCACTGCCCTGGTCCCCTTCCCTGGTGGTGCCCACTTGTCCACTCACTGAGGGCCCCTCCAGCCCAGGCACAGCTGTGCGGAGAAGCACTGTCGTTTTCACTGGACAAAACAGGAAATGGGGACTCAGCCCACTCCAACTATACCTGCCCCCGATCTCATGGGCAGTTAGTGTTCCTGCACATCTCTACTTAACGCCTGCTCCCTCCTCCTTAGAATCCTGTGCCCTGTTGGGAGCGCTGGGGCCAGGGCAGACGGCACCTCATGAGTCCTACAGATTTTGTTCAACAAACCGGATCCCTGCTCCCAGCTGTGTCTGTCTGCCTCTCACTGGTCCCTGCGCTGCCGTCCCTGCTCAGGCCACCACTGCAGATGGCACATCCTCCTACCCGCTGGTGCCCCAGCCCTGGTTCTACGGAATGCTGGGCTCAGAGGGTCTCATCTGACCAGACCCGAGAGCTGGGGACAGAAAGGACAACTGGCCCATGGCCCTGAAACGAGGCCCCCACCTTCCTCATACTTCTTACTGCCTCCCCCGGGAGCCTCCCTTCAAAGATCGGGAGGATGTGTGGACGGGGCTCAGCGGCTGGGGCATGTGGTTCTGGAAGCTGTCGCCCCTACCGCCAGCAGCGAGGTCCTAAGGGGACGGGCATCAGGGCACCCCCCTCCTCTCTAGCTGTGGGGGAAGAGGCTGCTGCCCCCCCCCCCCCCCGGCCCCCCAAAGCAAGGGAGCAGCCACTGCTTGAGCCGTTGCCAGGGCAACCGCCAATTGCGTCTGCGTGTGACAGGGGCTACAGGGGCTCACAGTCCCAGAGACAAACGTGACGCAGGAACCAAGCGGCCTGAGCCGCAGAGACGGGGTGTCTTTGTGGCAATAAAACATTCAGGGTAGAGGGGGAGCCACCTCACCTCATAATCACAGCCCCCAAAAGGCCCCAAGCTTGAGGCCCCGGGGTTAGGCGCTTACTCAAGGCCACAGAGCCAGCAAGTGGCCAGGGATGAACTCCATTCTGTGGTGCTCAAGCTCTAAGCTCCCGGCACCTCCTGACTTCTGGGGGTCCAGACAGGCTGGCTCCCCCTCCGTGGGGCTCCCTCCCTCAGCCCACGGGCCAGATGGGGGCAAAAGTGGCGTCTGGTCACCGGTGTCTGGGAGAGATGGCTCATCCCTGGGTGCCCAGACACTCCTCCAGTCGCCCTGGAAACCCCTGGCTGCTGGGGCACTGATGACGTTTCTGCACCAAATGGCCTGGGCCCTGGGAGCCAGCCAGCACCTCACTCGGAGCCGCACCAGCGGTGGGTGCGTGGCTGACCCCCAGGAAGCACTTGCTGGCTGCAGGGACCCTCTGCCGGCCCCCAACAGAGCCCCTCCTTGAGCTCTCCCTGTCTCTGTCCCTTATGGCCCCGGGCAGCAGCACACAGCAAAATGTGTCTGTAGCCTCCGCTCGTGCCCGGCCACCAGGGCCAGAGCGACTGCCCGACGGACAAAGTGAGGCTGGCCAAGGAGCTGAATGCCACACTGGCACCGGGGCCAAGCCGAAAGTACCACCTAGGTCCCCTGGCTGTCTTCAAGACCCAGGGTGAATAGGAAAAGACAATTCTGCAAAGTTGCTATCACCGTCCCGTTTCGCAGCCCGGGGCTGGGCTGACCCGCCCGGAGCCAGGACTCAAAGCGAGGGCTGTAAGCCACACCCGTCTCCTGTAAGCCCACCTGTGGGCTTAGGTGGCACCAAAGCGGGTGAGTCTAGGGGCACCTGAGCAGAGCCAGATGTATCTCCCTAGTTAGTGTCCCCTGTGGCCACCTGGCCACCCTCACAATGAATAAACACCTTCATAATAAACACTCAGAACACTAGGTCCCTTCTTACCAAAATCCGGTCCCTGGTGAAGCGAGGGCAGGGGTCTGTTGATGCTACCCTGGGTGTGTACGGGCAGTGGCAGGATGTCTGGCCCCACATTCTGGTCTCTGTGTCACCCTCTCAGCCTTCTCTTCCCAGCCAGCCACTCCCTTCACATTTTTTTTTTTTACTTGATTTCTCACTGTCCTGTGACTCCCTAGACAGTGCTCCCCTGCACACAGCTCAGCAGCCGTGTCCATCACAAATGCTGCTCCCTGAGATCTAATCCCAACCCAGTCCCTGGGGAGATGCCTGGGAATGTGATTTTAAGCGAGCTCCGCAGCTGGACCTGAAGCCCTAGGAAATCTGAGATCAACTGTCAGGGGCTACCTAGATGCTTCTAGAATGAACGCATGAAAAATTAAATTCTCTGTCCGTTCTTCCTCCGAGGCTCCCTCCCCCGCTCTTTAGTCACCGGTCTCCACCGTGATGTCCCCCCTCCCTCCCCTCCCGTCCCCCTCCTCTCGGTGCTCCCCGCGGGAGCCTCGGGGGTGGGGGCCCCCAGATCCTTCGAGGTCCTTCCCTCCCTGATGAGCGGGTGGTCGCGGGCAGGTCAGAAGCCTGGTAGGTGCGTGTTGTTTTACACCATTCCGACCCGTGGAGGGACTTCGTGGAGACTAGGGGTCCTACGGAGACTGGCGGCAGGGTGGGGGGGACTGGGCGCTGGGGGCATCTCCCCCACCCCCGCCCCCGGCGGGTTGCCTGGGAAACCCCGCGGAGCGTCTCTGAAGTCCCTGGCCGCGACCCACCGGCGGCCTGCGCCTGGCGGGGATGGGGGCCCCGGTGTCGTTGGGGGGGGGGGGTCCTGCTGTCCGCCTCCTCGATCCCCGCCCGCTCCGGCGCTCTTGGGGACGCAGGCCCAGAGAAGGGCCCGAGACCGTCCCTCCGAGCACGCGCCGGCTTCAATTTCCCCGGAGCCGAGGGAGCGTCTTCGCGACCTCCCGCCGCCCTCCTCCTCGGGGGGCCTCCCCGCGCCCCCTCGGGGTCCGCAAACGCAGGAGCCGGACCGGGCGCCGGTCGCAGGAGGGGGCGCCCCAAGGCCGTCCAAAGGCCGCGCACTCACCGTGGGCCGGGCGGGGGGCGCGCGGTCGGGGGGCTCCGGAGATGCCGCGCTCCGCACCCGCTCCAGAGACGCCAGGCACAGCGCGCGCTAGCAGCCGCGCCGAACCCGGAGCGCTGCGGGGGCGGGGCCTGGCGGCGGGGCCCGCCCA